CCGGGTCCGGGTCCGGGTTTACTTCACACCCCCCCCCCCCGGCATGGTCGCTTCATTCTCTCAATTTGGCCCCCCCACTTTGAAAACCGTGGCGCCGCCCCTGTATATATATATATATGTATATATATATTATACTTCTGACTAGATCATATATCATCTGGTATTTCTATACCCTCATTCCAACCTTCATGGTGAAATATTTCGTCTTTTCGACGCTGTATGGTCCGATGAGTGGGTGCGGGATGGCCCGTGATGCTCATACGAAAAACGTACCGGTCGTGCTTTGTAGGCCTACAGGTAATCGGACGTCCCTTCTTCTCCTGCGACGATGCAAACCATAAAAAGAACAGTATGACTAGTATGGCCTCTTGTTTAGCCTCATTGCTTTCTATGTTTTGTTGTGCTAAACACAACGCACCGGGCAGGGCGTAGCTATAGCCCTTCGCTCCGCCACATGCAGGCAGTTCCTGTGGCGCCCGCAGGCGCTTCCCTGTGGCAGAGCGAAGGGCTATAGTGCTAGAGTTAGGTGGAGCGCAGAGTTGGCAGTAATGAATTTAGCAAATAGTAAACACGGATTAACTCGTCCGAGAAGCAAAGATAAGAGCAAAAGTAATAAGTAAGCAAAGCATAGTCTATACCGTTTCCTGAGCGCAACCACGCAGTCGACAGTGCAATATAGTTCACCGCTCGTACTAATACTACTATACTATTATTATTCACTCATGATCTTTTTTCACTGCACTCTGCGTACTATCCATACTCGTGCTGTATCCGTATTCTCTTCCGCCACGCACAGGACGGCGTTCGCGATCTGGCTGGTCGGTAACGTGTTGTTCTGCATGGTGCTGAGGTATGGAGCCTACAGCATGATACTGACCGGCGTGCTTCTGTTACTCACAAACGGTCTATACTACATGCTGCTGCCCAAGTACGAGCTGCGCATCCACTTCGACTTGGAGGTCTTGCGATTCAAACTCGGCTGGTGCTATTGGCTCGTGCTGGCGACCGGTAAGTTAACATGTGACTTGCAAATATGAGAGGCTTTCCTCTGGTGATCTACTTTTTTAAGAGCAGCAAATAAAGGTCTAGCTGATTTTTATTATATATCGGGGGTTGGTAATCGATTCCATGCATACAATAAGCGGGCGCCATATTTGCTATTATTTCCTTGTTCGACATAGTGCGATCTTTATATGTCTAAACCGTTATCGACATTTTCTTTAAATGCTCGCTGACGGGAAGCGGCAGCGAAAAAGTGCTAAATGTTTACTGACTGCAGGAATCTTGTGCATTTGCGTGGGCGCCACCATCGCCGTGGTGGACGCTTGCTCGCCGCAACACATGTCCCTTATCTTCGAGATGGACAAGGATGAGAGGAGACGCGAGTTTGAGGCTGGCCGAGAAGAGATGGAGAGCAGGGGCTACGAACTCTCACAATATCCAGGACACACGCACCTCTACGAGATACGACAGCGGTCAAGTAAAGCCCCAAATGACCGCGTTAGGTACATACACGTACTACCATTCCCTTGCCCGTCCTCTTTTTTTCTCCCTTCCTCCGACGCTTTCCTTCATAATCATCGTCGTCGTCGTCGTCGTCGTCATCATCATCATCATCATCTTATTATTATTATTATTATTCTTTCTTCCTCTTCTTCTTCTTCTTCTTCTTCTTCTTCTTCTTCTGCATCTTCATCATCATCATCATCATCTTCTTTTTCCTCCTCCTCTTCTTCTTTTTCTTCTTCTTCTTCTTCTTCTTCTTCTTCTTCTTCTTCTTATTATTATTATTCACATTTTTTTTTGTTTTGCATTTTCGTCGCCATTGCCGTCGTTGTCGTCGTCGTCGAATTACTCTTTTCTTTTTCTTAGTCTCTTCCTCCCCATTTCCTCGAAATAAATCGACGAATCAAATGAAGAAACGTGATAATCCGCAGCGCGGCGCTGATCGTCAACTCGGTTATTCAGTGCAATTATGATTGTAATAACTTTAGTCAGGTCCCTTAGCTTCATGATCGTTACAGAGCTGACAAAAGCATCAAACTTGGCACAGTTGTAGCCTATGGCAGTACTATAAATATTAGAGGGGGTGCCCAATGTAGATATTCCTTAGAAGTGAATTACAGATGATTAAATGTTCGAACCGCGCCCGCCTGTACTGGCGCATTGTATATAGCTGTTAACCCCCCCTCCTCCTCCGCATACGCTATTGCGCTATAGGCGGCATGAAAGTGTATTAACTTTCATATCTCGCGAACAAATTGAGCTACATTTCTAGAAATCTATGAATTGAGTTTATTGAATCACGAATGGTTTAATTCATTATCAAAAATATACGCACGGTATCGCTCATAGGCTAATATATACGCGCGGCTATTGCCCGTAGGATAGTGTACTAACTCTAACATCTCGCGAAGGGTTTGAGTTACATTTCTAAAATTTTAGATACCTATAGACACATGTCTTAGCTATACTCTCTGTGAATATTGAGTTTATTGTCGATAGACGATTAGTCAATATATTAGCAAATATATGCGCGCGGAAGTGGTACCCAGGGAGACATAGACCCTATCAGCGCTAGCGGCAGGTGCGCGCGCATAGCCGGTGTCTCATTCCATCTGCTCTGACGAAACTAGGGCGCTTTAATATTTTAAACTTCAAACGCATATAGTAATCCAAGGTGGAATGTATAAACCACGAGAATTCTCCTATAGAATTTCTTCATATAGTATTCTCCTGGTCTAGCAGGAAAATGTAAACATATCATATTAGTATTTAATATAGGCCCGGATAATTTTAATCACCGTGACACGTCCTACCTATTTTTCTTTTGTAGGCTTACTGCGTGTAACGCTTGTACGTGAAGTACGTGTTTATAATGGTGTTTTTTTTTGTTTCAGGGAAGAGCCGGCTGTCGTTGTAAACGTCGGTGCACTATGACCCGTTTATTCGTAACGTATCAAAAATATTTGCGCCCAGAATAGACACTAGAGGCCGCGACGATCGCATGGACTCTGGCAAGCTCTATCGCTGGAACAATCAGAGCCCAGCTTGGCATATGGGTATGAAGGTTGTGATAATGTGACTTCATAGTTGGCAGTTCATCACTCAATGAAATGATATGATATGAAAAACATCATACCAAAGATATGTCACGTGTAACAGTTTATATGTAATTGTACATAGATTAACATATTATAGCTATACGAGAGACGACTACGACAGTTATATGTATATATACTAAATGCTCATCGACTAAAGACAAATATAGGTCTTGTTAGTCACGTGGGCCACATTTCACGTCGTTTTTAGAATATTCGCAATTGCCATCCGTGTGTTACTGTTATCTATAAGCAAAAGACATGCGACTGTAAAGATAATATTGCAAAACCATTTTGGATATATTAAATGTGTTAGGATATATAACGTGTCAACTTGACGCACCTTTCTAACTATTCTCACTACTGATAGAGTAAAAAATTATGTACCATTTTTTCAACAGTGAAATTTTCCTAACTGAACATTCGACATTACCGCTCTTTACTGCTTGGAAACAAAATAATAACGACAATACAATAGTATACGTAAAATCGACAGTATGGATGTATTGGCCGTATGTCTATGTATATTATCACGTAGGTATAACCATCTAGATTGAGGTATCTAGGTAGCTTACTACCTACATCTAGATATTATAATCCTGCGTTTTGGCTGTTATTTATGCACGCTCCTGCTCTGATTGTGTGAACTGCGGTCAGAAGAACATGAGTAGTCGTCACGAATCGTAGTCCGTGGGTATACATGATATCGAAATACCTAAAGCTTACAAGTCCAAGCCCTAGGGCGATTGCTAAGGCAAATAAATGTCGTGCAACGATTCGCATGCAAATAAACAAAACCGCGTTTTTGCTTGACGAAAATCATATTTAAACTTAATATCCGGAGGGATTATAGAGGACTAGTCAGATTGAGATTTCATTTCATTGCAACGTATACTGTTCCGTTTGTTGTAGCTATTTGTGGATGAACGGGCAAATATTGAAGTGGTTAACCACGTTTTTTAATGAACTTAGCTCTATCTGGAAAAAAAGTATAAAAATTTCTGGTGCGGTCAAATTCGTTATACGAAAATTTCACATATGAACTGTAATATCAATGAAACAGTTGAGTCATGCATATGTATTGCAGTGACGCGTTGATCGTTTAAGGTTTAAATGTATTTTCCACACCAATGTGCTACACGGTGTCACTTGAGTATTACGGATAAGCAATGAGCGTTTCAGTTCACGTATATTCTGCTCAGTGGTTAAGGAAAACCTTTCAAATTGACTACATTCAACAGCGATATTGATTCTGACAGTTTTCATCGAAATCAAATACGAAACTAGATCATTATTCGAAGTTTGGTTATGGTTTTCATATATTCGAGTATTCATTAAGCTTAAATATATTATTTAGCTTTACGCATACTTTATTGTCGCGTAGTTAGCAGACTAACTGTGTAACGCGTCGCACGTTGTTTGACGACGCGTCAATAAGTAACGGTCGTCATTATCGCCTGGCGCCGTGAGCGTCGTGCACGCACACGGCGCCACGGGCACGGTATGGCGCGGTGCGTCGGGGGAAACGCCCCTAAAATCATTTACACACCATGCCGTTCTTTTCTGCCGGGTTGGGATCCGTAGGCAGATCACGCGCGGATTGTTGATGCGGTGAACGAAATAATAGCGTTGATCGCATTGTTACGTTAATGTCGCTACCGCGCGGCGTCCGTTAAACGAAGTTAACGGATATGACTTTAGCCCGTACGACGTCGTCACAAGGCCGTGTGTCAATGGCGCCTGCGCCACGGATAATTAGCCAGCGGTCTGCTTGTCACGCAAATGGATGGGCCTCTAATGGACGGTATCCATAGAAGTCTATGTGTAATTACCGCAGTCGACTGGTACTTGGAACCGCGGATAGATTCGTGACGATATTGGTTGAGGGCGTTTACAGGCCTGCGGCGTGTTGCCATTTTACAGTGAACCCAGTGACGTGTTTCGCTGACTGCTGAATGTTACCAGCCAGCGTAACTGCGACCACTGAGTGGTTGTGACCACTAGCTGTGGTGTGTTGAGAAAATAAACATTTATTTTTATGCATGTAGCTGGCGTTTTGTTTATGCCCATGTCGAGGATTGCGCAGATACTGAAGATATATTTGTGAACTGTTTAATTATTATATGCTTTATTGTAGTAGTTTCAAGATGTTTTAACGTGATGCTTACTTTTATGAAGAATTTTCACGGGGTTATATATATTTATTTATTCGTATTCATTATACATTCGTTTCATTTATTAGACCTCATAATCAATAGAATAATTATCAACATATTCGGCCTATTGCTGCACATATATATATATTACAATGTCGAAATAACACTCTTGACGCTCAGAACTAGTTTGTAGTTTCTTCTCTTCAAGCAGCGTAAATGCCCCAACTCATGCGACAGCCGCCACCCCTCCCATCTGTATCGTCACGATAGTACGGGGTCCAAAATCCTGCATTTGCGCAGAGCTTCCTGGCCGCACCTCCGCCACACTGACCACCGTCGCCATCCGGGTACCTGCAAGGCAGCAGCAATTAATTTCCACGTCGCATGTAAATGTGATAGCTAATAACGAAAACGCCCGCGCATGCGAGAACGTATATGCACGCACGCACGCACGCATGTATGTACGCACGCACGCATGTACGCACGCACGCACGGATGCATGTACACACACGTGCACACACGATTTATGCCTAAGATCCTTTCACTGGGGTGGAAGTTCATTAGGCTATCACGGCGTGGGGATTACTTTGTATAAAATATACAAAAATGCAAACGCCACCTGGTAGCGTTCGTATCTTCACTCGTAACCCATCCGGTAGAGTAGAGCAGTAGTATAGTAAGTAGTAGAGCAGTAGTATAGTAAGTAGTAAAGCTAGTAGTATAGTAAAGCTAGTAGTATAGTAAGTAGTAAAGCTAGTAGTATAGTAAGTAGTAAAGCTAGTAGTATAGTAAGTAGTAAAGCTAGTAGTATAGTAAGTAGTAAAACTAGTAGTATTGTAAGTAGTAAAGCTAGTAGTATAGTAAGTAGTAAAACTAGTAGTATAGTAAGTAGTAAAGCTAGTAGTATAGTACAGCAGCGTGGCAGAAAGCCGAGCGTAAATCGCACTGAATGATGATCTTCACGTGCGCTCACGTTAGCCTGGGCTTACCATTGAAAGCAGAGCTGGATCTTCTGAGCCCAAGGTTCGAGGGTGGTCGTTGATGGCAGTTTCAGCTTCCAGGACATACGACATCCGCCTGCCCTTCCGTCGGTGTCGTCGCGGTAGGAGGATGTGAACTGTCCCACCGGTGCACAGAATTCATATACTCTTCCAGTGACTGAGCCGGTGTGACACTGCCCGTGAAAACAACACAGAAACTATTCACCGTCACAATAAACTTCAGACAGTAGATTTATAGTAGACTGCAGTTAAATGACACGGAAGGTACAGGTTTGCAATAATATTATATTAGATAAAACAACAATCTGAAACCAATATTAGACTAATTTATTAGTGAAATTGTAGGAGACTATTAAAATTTTATTTTACACATTTCCGCAATGAACAATTCAACAAAATTTCAGAAACCCCATGTCCACTCAAACCCATAGCGTGATTACTATAGACTATCGCCCATAGAAACATATACGTCCACGACTATACTCGGCTTCCTTCAGACTTAGCTATTCTCTTTTGGTCAGACTAACGCGCGCAGGGGGGAACTTCTGCTAGGGCATTTCAACCCGGGCAGCTTACCTGCCCCGCATTTCCATCGGCGTAGAAACGGTAGCAGACTTGCACTGCCTTGAACCAGCTGCTACTGTGCGGCGACACGATGCCCCACGACATTTGGCAGCCTCCGCCGCGGCCGTCCGTATCATCTCTATAGACAGCTGTCTGCTGGCCCGTATTTGCGCAGATCTCACGCGGTTCGCTGCCAGTGCCACACTGACCACCATCGCCGTCTGGGTGCCAGCGGAAGCAAAACTGAGTCTGCTGGCGAAACCAGGCGGGGGCCTGCATACAGAATAAACGCACTTAGATATGATCATTCAACTCAAGAAATTATATATATATATAAATATATATATATATAAGCAACGTAATAATATATATATAATAAGACTAAATAATAATAATATATAAAGCACATGTCATGCTACTTCATCAATCTCTTCGGTATACTAGTAGCGATGATATATATATATATAATCTTTGCTACTAGTATACCGAAGAGATCGATGAAGAAGCATGACAGTCATGTGCTTTAGCGAGGACAGATTCCAAAGGGTGATCCTACCCCTACAACATGAAATGGATTTGCGTTAAGAGTAATCATTACACAGTGACACCCGTCTGTATATGAATGTGCTTTAATGGATAGATATCTCATTATTTCTTTGCACTACAATGGTTTTTTATTCCTAAACCTTTTACGCGGAATTAGTTGCAATAGAATGTTCCAGGCTGCATTGAGCGCATGTGAGATTTATGCCTTCTATATGCATTAGAATCTGCATTTAGTATTCCTTTGGAAATCAGTATTATGTATACACGCTACTGATTATGAGTAACTCACATCTACAGAGATAGCAGGCTGCTGGACAACCAAGTACGGGTCAAGTAAGCTGGCGTACGTGCGTACGCATTTACCTGAGTTCCGATCTTACAGTTGTAGCCGTTGGAGCCGCAGGGAAATAGTTTAGAGCTTTCTGACAACTCGCAGATGTGCGCGCAGCAGTCTCCGTTGTCGTAGCGATAACTCGGCGTGTTGCACTCCTCGTCGCACCAGCCGTCGCCGACGCGTGTCATGTCACACCCAGCGGTCGCCGCTCGCTTGCGCCGCGCCATTTTGAAGATCAGCCGAAGGTCGTGAGCCGATGTCGAGTTGGCGGCCGGTGTGTCGGACTCCGGTAATCTGACGCCGACGTTGCCGCTGCAGTGCGACAGCCACGCGTCGTACAGCCGTCGGTGAATATCGTCGTCGGCCTTCTCCGCGACACCGCGATTGCGGAGTGCCTCGGCAAGCACGGAGCATCTCGCTTCCACGTCGGGCTCTTCACGCAGTGCGTCCGGCGACGCGTACTCCGAGGGAATGCTAGTCGACTCACCATGCTCAATCGTCAGACTGTTCACGTACTGATCGTAGTTCATGCGGTAAAGGTAGTTCGTTCCGATGATGACACCGACGCCGAGCAGAGTTGCGAGTGCGACAAGTGCGAGACAACTGGCGCTTGTCAACCTCTTTGTCTTCAGTAATGATTTCTCATCTTCAACGGAGGAGACGGGAATCTGATAAAATTTACCTGACTGTACGGGTGCCACCGGATTTTCCATGCTGCCTCAAATAATTTTAAATTATGATATTAAGAAGAAAAATCTGGTTACCATCAGTCAGGCTGGCTATGAAGATTCTATCAGCCAGGGCCTTGGGCTCTTATTTATATGTCTACGTAGTGCATCCTGGTAAGTTTCCGGAGTCTACTCACTTCGTGGAAATTCTGGATATACGTATACCCGGATGCGAATTTTTTTTCCTACACGTTATATCCATTGGGCTCCTCTGATTGGCTGCTTTGATTTGCTTCGACTCAACAAACCTTCAAAACAAGAAAACAAACGCCATTTGCAAATATTTGTTTTAGTTTATGATCGGTAGATAAGTACGTTTTCTGCCGGGTTTTCTGATGTATTTTCTATTAAAAAAAACACACATTTTACTCATTAATATAAAATATAATATTATAACTATAATTACAATTCTTTGTGTAAATGTGTTATTGTCATCATAATCTTAAGTTATGAAAGGGTCTGGGCTCTCGTAATACTACATACGTACGTATACGTACTCGTACTATAGAGTAGCCCTTCCTATAGAAGAAGCTAAGGGCTATAGACTAGTACTAGAGCTATACGTACTCGTTGACGCTAGACTGAGCAAAAAGTAAACAAACCTTTGTTATTAAACGACACGTATGTGTTAGTACTTGTTTACATTTGAAAATACATGTACACAAAGAATTGCAATTATAGTGATATTATATTTTATCTTAATGAGTAAAATGTGTTTTTTAAGTTTTTCAAAAAAATACACCAGAAAACTTTTTTCTCAGTCTAGCGTCAACGAGTACGAGTACGCATAGCTCTAGTACTATAGCCAGGGGCGGACTGGCCCCTCGGGCAAATGATATGGCCCCTCAAATAATGGCCCCTCGAAAAAAGGGAAAAAAAATTTTTTATTTGTTTTCCAGTTTTTCTTCTTTATCGGTCGGTCTGAAAAATATTGTGCCCCAAATCCGAGGACTTTTTTCAATCCATATCGGGGGGTGACGGTTCCACCACTTTTTCAAAGTTCCAATCACCTACCTAACAACCTTATTTTTTGAATGGGTGATTTGGTGTAAACATTTCAACACGGTATTCCTTATCGAGAATTTCTGATATTGCAGGCCTTTTGAGTTTCACAAAGTCCGGACCCCCGACCGCGGTCAGTGGACCGGGACCCAATCACAGGTATTGCCCGAGGGCCCACAAGGTGCCAGTCCGCCCCTGAGTATAGCCCTTCGTTCCTTCCTCCTGCGAAGGGCTATACTATAGTACGAGTACGTATACGTACGTATGTAGTAAGTGTTACGAGAGCCCAGACCATAGATATCCCATTTATAGGATATCTATGGGCCAGACCCTCTCATAACTTAACGTTAACGATGAAAATAACACATTTACACAAAGAATTGTAATTATAGTGATATTATATTTTATATTAATGAGTAAAATGTGTGTTTTTCATGAAAAATAAATCAGAAAACTTACTTATCTACCGATCATAAACCATAACAAATATTTACAAATGGCGTTTGTTCCCTTGTTTTGAAGGTTTGTTGAGTCCATAGGTTGAGTCAAAGCAAATCAAAGCAGCCAATCAGAGGAGCCCAAAACTCTGCAATGGATATAACCCACTGATCTCTATAATATAATCATTATATATATATATATTCATAATATATATAATATGATATTATTATAGAGATCAGTGATATAACCAGAGCATATAAATCACCTGGTGATTTATATGCTCTGATATAACCACTGATCTCTATAATATAATCTGATTAATATAATATAATCTGATTAATATTATATAATATGATATAATATAATCTGATTATATTATAGAGATCAATGGATATAACGTGTAAGGAAAAAATATTCGCTACCCGCCCGGATGTACGTCGTTATAAAATCTAGCAAGGTCGTGATCGATAAGGGTTGCGTGGCGTAAACTGTGGTTATATTATTGCGCCTATCCCACTACACATGCACAAGCTATAGTTGGAGTATATGTGTAACGTGGCTGCCAAACAAATTATTTTTTTTAATTACTATCTACATTAGCCACCCTTCGCCTCAATGCCTGATTTGTACATGTCACATGTCAAGATGAATCCGGGGTAAACTGTAAGCCTAAAGGGGCATAACAACAGGCCCTCTAGAATTGAAATTTTTCGTGGAAACGGCTTTAGGCCCGACGTTCACATCGGTAGCGAATTTCGGTGACAAAATTAATGCTGAAATGATGCTTCGTGATCACAGTGTGTTGCGTCGTGTCTTGAGCTGTCCGTGAAGCACACATAGGGCACTACAGTGAGTGAGGCTCGGAAGGACGGAGTTCGTACAATACAAGTCAATGAATTACCCACGACCGAGAGGTCGGCTTTACCACAACAAGAATATATCGGAACAGCGGATGTAGAACATCACATACCTACGCGTGCAAGCGCGAACAAACGCACAAACGAACGCACGTACGCACGCATGCTCACACGCACGCACGCACGCACGCACGCACGCACGCTCACACGCACGCACGCTCGCTCACACGCGCACACGAGCACGTCGAGCAAATACGATACGTTCAGGAGCTTTATAATATATTCTCTAAAAAATTCGCACATACCTAATCTTTCAAAAGAAAGGGTAGCGTTTTCTATTCAAAATATGACGTTCTCAATCGCCGTAGATAAATATTTATGACATAAATATGCAGCCGGCTGCCAACACGTCGGGCGGGTCGTGTTTAATATGTGCAACGCACATCTATCACATTAGACGTTTGAGCTACACGTGTCTGTTTATAAACTTTGCGTGGTTCTGTAGTCATCCCCCCCCCCGTGTCCAGCATACTCCAGGTACATGTTATTTATCTCAAGAGCAGTTATTCACTACGACCCCAGCCCGCTACAGGGAGCGAGTGAAGATCTGCCGTTAACGAGGCCAACTCTAGGTGACTTTTTGGAACTTGTGTCAGAGCCCAGTGGCGGCAGCGGGTCAACAGCCCACTACTGCCCCCTTTCCCACTACTGCCGAAGAGAATTGAAATTCAGAAACTCGTCAGGGATCGATGTACGATAAAGCTAGCTCGCAGTCACATTGTCTGCGATTGTTTTACTAATGCATGCACCGCTCGGAGACAGGAATAAAATTTAAAAAAAACTATTAGCAACTTGCATGAATAATTTATTATGATTGCGACAAATCATTAAAATGCTCTATTCTACACTCAATTGACTTCAGTCGTACATAACGCTAAGATTTCTCACAATAAGTTAGTATTTGCTAGCAGTGTTATTTGTTAAACTCAATGCACGTAATGCTACTCACTGCGAAGGAACTATACTGACTCCACAATCATTATATACAATGTGATCGAACCGATTAATGTGTACGGACAACATTAGCGATGTCAACTCATCAGCTCCGCCACCTGCTCTAAACAAGAGTGCAAATAAACTACGTTGTCTTGCATAAAACAATGAAATCTGTCTAATCTCACTGTATCCATCGTATATTGAACATGATCAACGAACGGAACCGCGACGCGAAACCGAACAGATGAAGCAATAACTAATTAATTATTCTAACTAAACGTGCTATGTACCGTATTAACGTGACGTAACACGTATACGAATGTACACACGTTCATACACGGGCACGCGTGCACATACGCCCATGTGCGCACATTCACGCAAGCGTGCTTGTACACACATGCGCGAATGTACATGCATGCACATACACAAACTCCACGACAGATGGCGCTCTCGCTCTGGCTCAATTCACGAGTATCTTGAGTTGTACGAAGGGGGCACTGCATGCAGTTTGGCACATACATACATGCTTGCATACTCGCACACTTACGCACGTGTACATATACCCGCATGATCACACGTGTTCGCACACGTGCACGCTGCCGCGCGTGTACCTGCGTGCACACACCCATACCACACGCAGGTACACGGGCCCATGTATGTATTAGCAAGTATTTGCACGCATGCGCGAGCGCACGCATGGATCCCGCGTGTACGAATATGGACAAATCTCGCGAGTAGCCCACTTGATAGTCCAAACAATTCACGGCAACACCGCCATCCTGACGCTGGTGGAGCTGGGGTGTATATACTGAATCTTAAGCTATCGTTGGTCCTCATGGCAAGAAATGCGACGTCAAATGTCAAGTTGTCAAATGTCCTTTTATCTCCTTACCCCGACCCCTACCCCTACCTCCCCCCCCACACAAAAAACACACACAGTCGCACGCACGCACGCAGCGCACGCACGCACGCACGCACGCGCCGCACCGGCACGCACGCACGCGCACGCACGCACACACACACAGACATACAATTACCAGAGCATACACTTACAGACATACCACACCCACACACACACAACACGCACGCTCGACGCCGCACACACGTTCACCGACACCACCCACAGATACACATATATAATATATATATTATATATATATAGTATATATACTGTATGTCACTGATTGTTATCTGGCGCCTTGCTACGTTGGTGGCCTCCCTTACGATAAATTTGACGTTTTTGTTGTGCTGGTAATTTTTCTTCGTGATATTTTTACCTTCTCGCGTTCTGTGATTATTGTTAGCGTGCGCCCATCACCGATTACCAACCACACCATATGGTGGTCTGTGTCATTTCAGAAAACAATGTTTATAGTGTTTTTTGAACAGATTAGATAGGCCAGCATATAGGTCAGCATGCAGTGTTCTGAATATTGATATGATACAAAGGACTTAATTAAAATACCTAGCGCGATTCGGTCTCTACACACAAACATATCAAAATTAGTCATTTTTCATGCTAATATGACAGAGATTCACGTTTCAAGACTTTTTACTCGAAGAACTTTTGACTAGACTACATTATTATCACCGTATTACAGCATTTAGGTTTGCAGCAGATGTTGTCGCCATCCTGTTTCGCACACAAATCAGCATGACCGTTGATGTATCTAGGCAGAGTATGCCGCCGTCCAAAGTAAATTGAGACGACGGTCTTTACAGACAACAAAAGTTAGTGCACCATTGCATCCAGTGAACAATTGACGAGCGGTTACTGTTACTTTGGTACTACCGCTTTACTTTGTACAACGACAGAACCGGCTAACCCAGAATGTGCGTAATAGCTACATTCATGCTTTAATACGCGATATGCGAAACTCAACTAATGCATAAAGCTCAGCGGTACGGAGCGGAATTAAGCCTTAGCCAAATTCACCACTGATCAATATTATGACGCCAATAAATGAAGGAAAGTGGATCGGCCTGGTTTTTATTCCGGTACTTTAGCAATAACACCTTAATTATATAATGCTATCAAACGAGGGGGTCCACGCCCCGGTTATAAAGGGTGTCCATGATAAGTTCGAGTTGCTTTGCCATATTTGTTGCACGATAGGTGCTAGACTCGTATATAAATACTCTAAGGACATCCTGGTTTTTTTGTAATTTGCTACTCACTACGTGATTGGTTGGTAGGGCCGACTATGTTGCGGAAGCTCTGATCAAATACACGCGATGTGTGTATATCAGCGCAAGTTGCCGCCGACTCTGCGGGCTCACGACCATAAGACGATATTAAGAAGCCGGCCGCATTACGAATCGGCGAGTAGAACGAACCTTGCAATGTCGCTGTTTCTCTGAGGCGTCGTGTTCGCGGCTGGTGTGGTTTTTCCCTCAATTCTGCTGGTTTACTATCAACGTTCGTCATATAACGTCGTCCTTAACCTTGAGCCACAAATTCTCAGGCTTCATTTAGGTAGACTATGCGTCCGCGTGATAGTCTACTATATAGTTGCATATACTGCTTAGACAGCATCGTGAGCAATAATGGGAAGATAGATGGTTCAGGCAGAATGACCGTAAAAAATGCACGTTGCCGACTTGCAAGATATTCTGGGTGTGGACATTCGCGCACATAAGGCATAGATGGTTACACTTCATGCCTGACAATCGTATATATCCGGTATAGAATTAGATACGATTAAGGTGTTAACCCAAACCACAACTGGAGTTAGTGGTTGGGGTTCGGCGTATCATCTTTGGGTTCTCCCTATCCGTCTTTGGACGGTTTCGGGTTACATTAATTGTATGTATAGATTGTGCGTATTTTCTAGGATCATTGTTAGCGTTTACCAGATATAGGCTTGCGTTCGCCAACGTTGAATGGCTGGATTTAAAGTTAAAAGCCATGTGGAAGTCGTAGGCATTAATGAAGGAATACTAGGAGTCAGACTGATAGGTTCAATCTGCGGGGTTAAATACATACATATTAAACTTTGCTCAAACATGCCACATAGTGCAAGTTCTACTGTATTACCTTTGATTCTATCTTTTCTTCTCTTGGAATAACGTTGGACAATATCGTTACTATATAAATCATGATAAATGCAATAAATTTTTGAACTTTTATGAGATCCTACAATTATCTGATGCCTCTCATTTTTATACGCTTGACACCTGCAAATGTTACAGAGAACAGACGAAGACAAACAGGCCTGACTGAACATGGATCTATGATGTAAGAGAGTATTTTATGCTGCGCATATGCTACGCCGCACGATCAGCTGTCCCTCCGTGGTACGGTGTCTATGTGGTCGGGTGTGTATATGTTGGGCAAGCGCATAATATGTGCGTGGTGTGTGGAGGTCTCGTTGTGTGTCTGTGTGGTGTGTGGTGTGTGTGTTGTGTGGTTGTGTGTGTGTGTGTGTGTGTGGTGTGTGTGTTGTGTGTGTGTTGGTGTGTGTGTGTGTGTGTGTGGTGTTGTAGTGTTGTGTGTCTTAAGTCTGTGATTACGCTACTGTGTTTGTAAATTAATACGCTCTTGATATCATACACCTTATATAGAATCCCGTTGTTCATGTAGTCATTCATAATTCCAACCCTACCTTTCGCCTCATGGGCTCTATGGGAACACATATGGTTGTAATCGATACAAAAATGCGGGAGGAACAAACAAACCAACTCACTTCAAACTATAGTATTGGTTTTTGTGCTATTTTTATTTCATTTTATATTACGTATATATCGTATATACGTATATATCGTACAAAAACTCGGGGGTACATAGAGGACATTTATCGTGTTTAACTATCACAACTGATAAACATTCTTCTATTATCTACTCCTGATTTAATGTGTGTGCTCAAAGAGAAAAGCAAGCATAGTTGGCATGGACCTGGGCATGGGTTACGACTATACACGTACTTTGATCATCGTACAGTACGTCCTGTCGTGGCTATATACATATCACCAGGAGCGTATAATGACAAATATAATGTCATTATACGCTCCTGATATCACCAAGAGCGTGATATCACGTACGACAGCAAATCATTTTAGACGATACTTTTTTGTTTGTTTGTGGAAACCAGCGCGGGCTGTACATATGGCGCGCTTGATCTTTCAACGTGGATTATATCAGGAGTGAATAATAATAGATCTATTATAGATTATATTAAGAAAAATCTATTATTATTCACTTCTGATTATATCGCTTACTCGAACTATTCAATTGTAAGCATGCAGTTTACATGAATTAATGTAGCTGCATATTACAGTAGCAATGCTTGGGCTTGCTATAGTGGCGAATGGGATGATAGCCGCGGAGTAACACGAGATGGGAAGCTGGTTGAAGAGAACGAGTCTCTACACTAGAGAGTGCTAGCGTGTTGGAACTCGCATACGTGTTCTGTGCCACGTTGGCAATGACGCATCTGGTCAAGAATAACCCGGCCATAGGCCAAGTGTATTTTGTCATATGAGACAAACTCCGCAATAGTATTTTAGCCGAGGAGCGAAGAGCGAGGACGTTGGAGCTTTGGTTACCGAATTCGGCGATGATGTGGGAAAACTACGTCATGTGAAGGAAGCAGATTCGGGAGCTCATATAAAAGCGAGAGCGCGTGTCGATTTCAGGAGGAGAGAAATAGAGTAGTTTAGCGAGTAGAGAGTAGATAGCATGATCTACCGGTCGAGTATCTGTGCGGCTATAGTGATTTAATTGTGTTAGAAGCAGAAATGCTTGGAATTCGTTTGGGGAGAGAACCTTGCGATTGAAATATTGATTATCTTGATTAAATATTATTGTGCATTATTTCTGACTTATTGTGTTATTCTTGAGTTCTTACAGCTTTACTATAAATCTAGGGAATTTACCTGTGTTGGTTTCCGGACTACACAGTAAATAATATAATTTTTGGGTGCCCTACTGGGATACTGGCTTAGTGGGCTAGTGAAAAGATTCACAGTTTTCACTGGCGGGTGCCGCAGCAGCATACAAGGCTCTCTTAATTCTTGGCACCGTTTCCACACTCTATCTCTTTTTTTGCTGAGTACTAAGCAGAGAAGCAGTGTGTACCATTTTTCAAGTCTTTGGTATTACTACACAGTAATTCACGCAATGTCACATGACGAACACTATTGGGCGGGTGAAAGTCGACTTTAATAAATAAAATCATTGAAACAAGCTCGTATTAAGGAAATAAGTTGACAAAGCCATGAAAATTCGGCTAAGGTAGGGGTGAATAGCGATCTTGATAAGGTATGATGCCTCGGTTCAGTCTGCGCGCTTTGTAATGCAGCCGCGTTCTGCTCGTGGAGTATGCGCACTAAGCGGTGATATTGTAGCTTATTGTTCTACACAGCCGCAGCAAATTCCACGGACTTATACTTGTGTTTGGGATAGTTACTATATATATATAAAGAGAGAGAGAGATAGAGGAG